ACCAACGGTGGTCTTAGTTGACTGTTGTGTTATTAGTGTTTTGTGTTCAGAATTGCCACTCACTTATGCCCCATTAGTCGTGAATGGACTATGCTGCTCAGCCCCGGTGGATACCGGGTCTTCAGCGACAGTTTTAAGACCCGATGTGGTGGGAAGGGGTGAAGCTACCATGGTGAAGCTGCAAACTGTCATGGGAGAGTGGGCCCCCATGCTAGGGGAAGCGCTGCTCACCCTGAGTGTGAGGAGGAAGTCAGTCCGCTGCTCGGTATGGGTGGCAAACTGTATACTGGGGCTGGAGGTACTCGGGGCACTGGACTGCGTTATTTATACAAGCGGGGGAGGGGGGGGACACTCTTGTTGTTCCTTGACGGGTGTGTTGTTCAGATGTTGAGGCGGCCACCCCAACCTCATCAGCCTACAGCCCACGCCATGTCTGAGCTGGCAGCCGACTCCTCCCCCGATCTGGATGATGTTCCGGCCGCCCCCAAGGACCCGCTTACACCAACCTCAACTGTACCCTATGCTGCTTCATGCCCTCCCCTTCCCCCCAAAGAACCGCCAGACAAGGACGGGAGAGTTTAGGCTGTGAGGGGTGTGTGGGAGGGGAGCTGCGATGGACTGACTGCTAGCAAGCAAGGCTTGCTTTGGCAGCTGCTGCTGGACTTCAAGGACTTCTTCTCCTTTTCAGAGGATAATATGGGCCTGGACTGACCTCATTCAACATGACATCAATACAGGAGATGCACAGCTCATTCAGATGAGGCCTAGACACCTCCCCCTGGCCAGACGGGTTGCAGTGGACAGGGCTCTGCAGGAGATGCAATGTGCTGGACTCATTGAACCATCCAACAGTCCCTGGGCCTCGCCAGTTGTTATAGTTCCAAAGAAAGTGAAGGATGACTGGCGGTTCTGCGTAGATTTCCGGCCTTTGAATAAGGTGACAAAGAAGGACCCACATCCTCTACCGTATAGATGAGACCCTTGACACTGTGGCAGGATTCTCATGGTTATCCTCCCTAGACCTACGTAGAGGGTAGTGGCAGGTACCCCTTGCACCAGAGGCCAGACCAAAGACCGCATTCATTACCAGTGGAGGCTTATGGCAATTTAAAGCTGTTCCTTTCGGCCTCTGCAATGCCCCTGCCACATTTGAGAGACTCATGGATAAGGTGCTCACTGGAATTCCCCATGGAGAATGTGTG